CTTGCCTAAACAGTATATATTATGTTTTATTTTTCGTTCGGCCTTCGCGCATCGTACAATAAAAACGTTTTACTTTACCTAACTTAACCTATGCTTACAATAAAACTAATGGTATTAACCTAATACATGTTATACATTGTTTTTACACAATCTGTTGTGTGCGAAAATTCTAACTACGAACCGGAAATTATACATAGCGAATTTATAAAAAAAAACCCACAACCCTGTTCAAGTTTGTGGAGAATTTATTACACAATATATACCTACCTGTAAACCACTCCGATTTCAACATAATAATAATTCATCGGACAATATTACAGTTACGCGTGGTATAGTCCGGCTATTGTAAACCGTATTACCAGCCGAATATGTAGTAAGTATTGTTGTTTGTTTTGGCCGTTATGAAACATTACTCATTAACATATTATTCTGTTTTGGATTATTTATTTACCCCGTTTTAGATGAAAATATATAGGTACATCACCGACCCACGGGTGAAAGGTATACACCATCTACCATTATACTCGGTTCAGCGTAAAATAATTATTGCCGTTATGGCAAAATATCAAATATTCATATAATTACAATAATAATGGTAGCAACGCGTTTACCTAAAACAAATTATTGTTTCCTCGTCGACCCGGGCACTACGCCTACGGACGGACGCTAGTGCGCAGAGTATGTAAAACTAGTTATGAAGACAGGGAGGAAAAAAACCGTTACTCGGACTGCCGGCAGCGTTTAAGATAAGAATACGGTTGGGCATGACAGGGGGGGGGGTGGAAAAAAAAGGATAACACCAGCCGAATGGACCCTACGGGACGAGACGCAGGGTGCCGGCGGGCACTGTGGCTGCGGGTCGGAGTTTCCCACGGAGAGCCAGGTTAATTGCTATGTCATGTCACTGGATTATAATATTACGCCGGGTCGTTTGCCCGCAAAACCTTCCCCTCTCCCGTCGCCGAACGGGTAATGCTCGTCCCTCGTCTTGGTCGGTCGTCTTCGTAGCCGTTGGTTTATCCGGCCGTTAAAGCTTCCACCTACAACCGTGCCGGTTCTAGCTGCTGTCGGTGGACACGTGGCCGTTATGAACGCACATAATCCTACGGTGCACAGCAAGACGCCAAAAAATGATGCTTTCCGTCCTAACCCCGTGCCGAATATTGTGTTTAAAACCGATTATACCATCGTCCGTCGTCTTTTGATCGGGTATAAAACTCGGCTTGGCCATTGTTTAATTACAACAGGACCCCGCTCGCATCGATTTATCTTATCGGCTTTAAGTCGCTTACACGTTGACTGACTCGATAATATATATTTTGTTTTTAGGCGAACGAGAATAAGCCCGGTGTCAGTAAAATCATATTTATTTTATCTGTCAATACCTAAATTAAATTATAACGGATTCGGAGTTAAAGAGGTGCACAGTGTCTTATGTGTGGTCGGATATAAATGTATAACCGGTGTAGTAATATAAAACACCGGTGGCTGCACAAGAGCCTGTGTGTTGTTGTTTTAAGAGCGAGCGGCAGACGGCAGAGGGATGAGTCTAAAAAGTAATGGTTTACACTTAAAGGGTATTCGGTTTCTGTGTGGGGAATTGGCTGGCTTGGAGGTTTCAGCGAGTAAACAACTCGGCGAAGCACTTTCGTTTGGCCGAAAGTAATGAGAAATCTGATAGAGGAACACCGAGAAAGCTAGTGGCTTGGATGGGAGAAGGAGAGGAGTAAAAAAGCATTGAGCACCACGTGTCGACGCATAATTTATAATTTCACCTCGATCGCTTTGGCGTGCGGTCTGTCATGTTGTGCTGCACACTATAGAGTTATTGATTTAAAATCAGTCTACGGGTTTAAAGCGGCTGTACGTACCGAAATCCAATAGGTAGAAAGAAAAATGAAAAAAAAAAAAATGCACGCATTCATATAAATGCAAAACAACCCGAAGAAAATACTAGCGTGTGTGTGTTTTCCCCCCTAAGTTCTATCTCGACCCTTTTTTGTATTCGTTCAATTTGTTATGTATATTTAATATAATAATATACAGCTATATATTGTTTATATACACGTTATGTAATATTTGAGAATATGATAGGGTTTGTAAAGTTCTAGTACGCAGTAGTCTTGCCGACCAATACAACGGTAATTCCAATAGGTTTAAAAGTACACAATATAATAAGACGTGTACTGTTTTGCTTGCTGTCATATTGAACCAAAACCGTTCGGTAATCTTGGAAAAAGTATTTAGTCATATCAACGTTATTATTGTATTGTCTGTACGGTGTACTGTAAGTACCTGTAATAGTTACAGTCAAAGAGTAATTATTATACTCTTTTCGGAATAATAATGGTTTGTTATTTTCATAAAGGTATTTGGCGTTTCTTCTTATTCGCTTTATACTGTTTTCTATAATTAAAATGAGAACGTTGGCAACAAACATTTACATTTTTGCTTTAAAACGCTTAGTGTTAGAAGTCAGTACATCCAGTGGGTGGTCTTGACGTTTCACTAAATATTTTTCGACTTTAACGTTGTCATTTACAGTATATAACGAATAAACAGTAATTTTACTTATGCTCGTCCTTTGTTTGATAATATCTTTTATTCTCGAAACAGTTTTTTCTCGTTATTCCTTGTTAGTTGACGGCACGTCGACCCGGGTATTAAGAAAACGTGGACAGACAATAAGCATAGCAATAACAGCGACACGCCGTATCATGTATATTATATACATTTACATAAAAATAATCTATCAGAATCGAAAACAACAAGCTGAACCTTTCTAATGAAAATGTCGTTTGCGATAAATTTCATTATGCCTATCGTTAGTGGCAACGGTGTTAATTTCATTGTCCTCCGTTTTCATTTATCACAATATAATACTATTATTATACTTAAGCTTATTGAACACACTGTATATTGTGTGTCAGCGTTGTTGTGCAAGGAATAGGTAGATGTGAATATTGTTTTCGGATCCATGCCGTAGAGCTACCGGTAGACATTGGTCACTGGTAACAAACTAATAATGTCAAAAAAAAAGTTAACTACACTAAGCGTTGACGGACGTTATATTTGCAGCTTCTATTTTTTTTTTTCACTAACTCTGTGCTCTCCGGCTGTAACAAAAGCACAATACGGTTCATTGTTTTACTTCTGGACCCCTTTCAATCCATTCAGGTATTTATTGTTGTCTACATGGGCCTTTTTTTTTATTTCTCAACCCGGCATAGCAATCATAGATAAAATAAATGATGGTGATCAAAAATAAGTCGGTAAAATCATAATTTTAATATTCCAATAGTTTTAACTGAGGCAGAGCGCAATTGGTGTATATCCTATTAAAAAAAACCTTGTCTAATTCCAGAAAGAAATATAGTTAGTTAGAAAGATAGTTTTTATGATGATTAGAGAAAACTTTAGAGCTATTCCAGAGGGAAGTGTTACATAATAACAGAGAAATTATTGTATTCGTTTTGTTCAATATAGTCACGACCCGTCGAAGCTGTGGCGAGCGCTTTTGGTAAACAAAGGCACTGTGTGTAACATCATAATCGTCGATTGCAAACAAAAGCCTACTCGGGTCAAATAAACAATACCGATGTAGGACTAAAATTATTTAGCCGATTTCCCGCAAGTTTGACTTGTTCATATTACTTTAAAACTTTTAAACACGCACTCATATAAATCGTATAATCTTTATGATAAAAGATTTGGGTCAACGAGAACTTTTGGCAAACAAGCACTGACATTTTTAAGTTGCACGTATCTTCAGTGGGCGGTCATAACCAGTTAGGTTCCATTTTAGTAGACCATAGAATGTTAAACAGTCGGGACTAAAATTTCGCCCAAGAGTCCGTGTAACGTTGAAACGGATACATTGCTGTGGCATGTATTTTACTTCATTACAATTGATCTCTGTTATAGGGATTTCCACTCGACTAGAAAAATGCTTGTTTACCGTAATCCCGGTGTGGCGGCCGATTTCCCGAGTTTGTGCGAGTTCTGGTCGGATTAAATATTATCGCACGTGCGTTGGATTTAACACTTTTGAACTCGGCTGGTTATTGCGGGAAACAATCGTTGTCAAATCGATTTGAAACATTTCAATCGCAGAAATGAGAAAATTACCGTTTTGTCAGACATTTTCAACCGAACTCGAACGCTCAATATTTTCCTTCTACGACATTTGTTCACTATAGGTACATTGAAGTCGGTAGGAAATTAATTCAGATCAGTAAATGAGACATTCTTTCCCTTCCTGTCGGCCATAGCGTGTATGTTATTACACGAATTTGGTCCGCACGTGCGTTTCATGCAGTACTGCAAATGGCGGCGGCAAAACTTTTAATTGCTTTATGATCGCGCCTTATTTGTGTATGAGTGTGTACACGCGGGCAGGCAGCTGATACAGAGAAGAGGTAAAGAGTTTTAATAACAAAGGTTTCAAAGTTATAATTTTGCGCAGCAATTAAATCCCGGTCGGTTCTCAATAAATTTGCTTATGTATACTACAATAATATAACAATTAAATAGTGGCGTTATTTTATATAGTTTATTAGCGGAAAAGACGTTTGGAGACGGCGACAACAGTCTCATTACCGTTTTCCACGAACACCTTGATACCCACCATATGTATATGCTATAGAGTATAACATATAAAACACCTATTATGCATCGTGGTAATACGACTTTTCAACAGGTAAAGCGTATCCGGTACGAAGGTGCAAGCAGTAACGTTCTGAAACTTTTACTGCAATGACTTAACGTTCAGTTTACCATAAAAATAATTATAAGCTCGATGAGAGATTTCTAAAGTTATGTAGTCGTTTTGTCACACAGCCATACCGTTTTATTGTGTTGGTTTTAAGTACCTTCAAACGTGTGCGATTGCTATAATGTATTTTGTATTGCTTATTCTGATAGGAACGGTATCGACAACACTATTACATTTTTAAGCAATAAACGTTGTATTTATTTGTATTATTGTTACATCATTTCAGATATGAAACCAAGCGATCTTTGCACGGCCACGACTTGGTATTGAAAACAAGACACAAAGCCCAAACCGAACGTTCGTTTGACTTGAAAGAAACGTGAGATGGTTCTCAGGTGATGGACGAACGGTCCGCAATGACACAGCTATCACGCAAAACGTTCATCTGTTGGCTGTGCTACTTGCTCACGCTGCATTTCGCCAGTCCCACCAAAGCCGGTAAGTAATACTCTTTAATCGAGACATAATAATATTACCATTAATTATCACCTAAACACAGTGGTCTCACTGCTATAGTGTAGTTAAACTGTTTAAAGCTAACTTTCAATAGAATGTGTAATTCGTTTGATCTCAATATAGTTATAGTTCAATATAGTTCCACGGGTGAACCCATGAGATAGCTAAAGATAAGTTGGAATTAATCAATTGTAAAAAAGGACAAATTTAAAAAAACAAATTTTATCCAAGACAGCACAAAACAATTTTATTTTTAAAATAACGTGGACATATTCTTGGATTTTCATAGTATTTAAAAATAATAATTTTGTACTTATTGCTGTCTGAGATAGAAATATCCTACTTATAATAAATCTTAAATTTTTTTAAAATTAAAAATGTTGTAATACATTAACATGTTGTGAATAAAAGGATCCGAGTCCTACCGTAGAATTTTCTCGGAATAACTGTGTATGAATTCAAATACCGTGTATATTTAATGTTATTCCCTTTTGTACTAATTAAAGTTAACCGAAAATATACTCAAATGTATATTTTAGAAAATTAACGCAGCGTTATTTGGCATTGAGCGTTATGCTCGCGTTAAAGAAAAAAATATACAACATTTGGTAAATGTTAAAACAAAATGAGCGTTTTTTTTTTTTATACTTTATTAGGGCGCAAAGGAAGAACATAACACCGTTGTAATTATTATTTCTCAAAAAAAAAAAAACCGTAGAAATAGTGGTTAAAAAAAACCTTCGCTTCCATAGTTTTATATATCATCAACATTTTTCTTAATTATTATTATACTTCACCCTTAATGGACGGAAAGGATGTTGGTGATTAAAAGTAGCTTTTAACGACGTTTGGCGGTTAGAAATATGCACGTGTATATTTATTAGATAAATTATTTCAAAGGCCGGAAACACTCGGGCGACGTCATTTGTGTCGGTAGGATGTCCGTTACAAAAGGCATAATATAATATTATAAATGACGGGATTTAATTTCACCACGCCCATCTCACCTTTCATTATGCTAATGTCGGAACGACTCGGCGACAGTGATGGTAAGTAGGTGGTAGAAACGGCCGAAGGTACTGAAAAACATCTTGAGCGGAAAAAGAAACGGACGCGGCGAGTCGAGTAGGCAAAACGGGTACACCAAAGCGATGCGAACAAAACGTCTCACTCGTTCGTTATACCATGTCACCGACAAACAACACAATGGGCAACATAGTTGTCTATATTTTGTTTAATTACATTGTTCGTCCAACGACAATGCTATATCTCTCTTTTCGAAGATGGGGTGGAAAAAACGTAAAAAAAAAAAAATGTAGTAAATGTAACTTGTATGAGCAAATGTATTTTATGAAAAACTATTTGGATTAAAATCAAAAGCACTTTAAATCTCGCAATGCTAATAATAATTTTGTATTCTCTGTAAATATTAAAATCTATATTATTGTTTATCTGTAAAAAATAATAATTTTATTTTCCTCTCTTCCATAGTCAAAATATTATGTATGATTTTAATAAGTATAATATGCTCGCAAAATTGTTTTGTTTGTGTACTCAGGATTTTCTGGTATGCGGCACAACCTTATTGTAGGGTTTTTTTTTTTTGTAATATAAAACTTAATATAACCGACTTCATAACGGATTGTAGTACCCAATTGTTAACTCTCCCTTTTTTAATATGAAAATATTTTCAAGATCATTATAAATGAAAAAGAGGCGGATTACCCTTGAAGATGTTAAATGTTTGTATTGTGCTTTTGTAATCGAGCGGGACAAGTTAGGTCAAATGAAATTTATTAGGCGGGTATTCGGTTATGGTGTAGTCATTTAAAAAAAAAAAAACCACTTAAAAAGAGTATAAAATCTGTACGCTTGTTTTTATACAAATGCTCTGAGTTATTCCCACTGACGATTACGGTAATTAAAATAACAACAAAAAAAGAAATATTCATCCATCAAAGGTCGACAATGTTATAAGGAATTTATTTATTAAATAACTGCACCATTGTCAATCATATTTAACAGTAACATGGCTCGGTCACGACACAAGTCGTGTAGAGTGCATTGGGGTTTTTTAACGGTTAAAAAAAAAAAAAACACTGTTTCGTTATAGCTGTCATTGAACGTATTCGAAAGGGTTATTAAGACGTGGAATTCGACCGTTTAGAGCGTAACGGCCGACGTGTTGGATGGCTATCACAGAAATGACTACAAACTCGATTGTTCGCTTTATCGAAAAATCATTTTATTTTTTATGTAAGCCTTAAGGACTATCACGCTTTTTAAGCCGTAAAAACATTTTTTTTTTCCACGAAAAAAAGAAACCGTTACGTTTAGTTAACGGTATCGTTTTGATCGGAGACCGGTCGTGTGGAAAAGAGTACTTTTTTTTTTTTTTTTTACTTCCTTTTTATTTCTACTCTCTGTCTTTCTCGTTTTTTTTTTCTATTCTCGCTCTAGCCGTTCCCGTAGCCGTCTTCTCCCCCGTCGGTTTCTTTTTTTTTTAGATTTACCCTTCGCTCTTTATATTTCAACCCCGAGAGAAGACGCAGCTGGGCCCTGGAGACGTTCGCACGAGGGGACGACAGAACAACAGGCACGACCGCACCAAAGTTTATCGATCGGTCAAAGTTCAAACGTGTCTCTGCCGAACGACCTTTTATGTGCATGTGTATGTGTATACAGTAACAATCACATATTATATTGTATAGGAGACTGCAGAAACAAAAAAAAAAATTAAAACAAAGGGTGATCGATCGGACGACGTTTACCGTACGGTATTCTCTTTTGGGTTTTCACGGTTAGGTTAGGTTGTGTGTGTGTGTACATAAGTGTAGTGCAACCGTGTATCCGACTGAATCCATTCGGTGGCTATTTGCTGTAAAAACCATACACACACACAAACTCAGTCGGTGGGGCGACTCTTGTGTGTGTGTGGTTTAGTGAAATGCGATTACCCCGATGCTTAGGGTGCGCGCGGTCCGCTGAGACGAAAACTCCTTGAGCGTGAAATAAACCAGTATGGTGTATATATGTATACCGTAGTAGTACTTTCTTAACGGTCAAAGTAACAATTACTTTACTCCTCCGTTCGCCCACGAAAACTTTTTGGCTACAAATGAAAACTTTTGCGTTTGACCCGACACGACCGCGAGCAAACGCACGCTTATGTCGAAACCAGAAACGGTTTTTTTTCTTATTCTAACATTAAAAAAAAAAAAACTACAAGAATATTTACATAGCGGAACCAGACAATATAAAATAAGATCAAGAAAAACAAGGTTTAGTCGTGCGGTGCCGCCCTTTGCGTTGTCTGTGAAAATAATAAAAGGCCGTAATGATTTTTATTTTTTAATTGCTCATACTAATAAGCTGAACGTAAACAATTCGGTCGGAACCGTGACAGAGTCTACTACAGTCTGCACAAATAACCTTACTAGTTTGTGGGGCATGACTTGTTGTTCGGGATAAAAAGTTCGTACTTTGGAGTCGAGCCAAGACGGCGCTTGTACACTCGAGTGTTCCTAAATAGTTTTAAATAATTATGCTCGACAAAGTATTATAATATGCCGCTTTTGTTGAACCTTAACGTTATATTTCCCACTATATTATTCGTAGCAATTATGGAATCGTGTACAAATATTGTATACATTTCAATATTGTACGGCTCGGTTAGTGAAATGTCATTTTTGACAAGAACGCATTCGAAAAATATTATATTAGACGCTATTTCATTACGACGACATCGGTACAATGTTTTAAAAAATATATATATTTTTTTTAACCCATAGGGAGTAAAAAAAAAAAAACAGAATAATTCAAAAAGTTACCGTGAGCTGCCTGTTTAAATATTAAATACGCTTCGTATCAGAACCAGCCACTCGGTGGCCATTTATATTTGATAAATAAACATTTTTTTTTTTCCTTTTGAAGCGACGGTGCTCGAGTTTTAGGAACGGTGAATTTAGTTTGACAGGTTATAAAAACGGTAGCTGGGTGGAAGTACCGCGAAGGGTGGGCGGAAGGTGGGGGAATGATGGAGCGAAGTGAGTAACCCGAGGGAAATTACGGGTGGGTCCAAATGAAAAATACCGGGAAATTCACTTAAAACAACCAAGAATATTTTATGATTATTATTAGTGTTGTTTTTTCTTTTGGTCCCTTTTGTTATTCCCAAACAAGAATATTTTCTTTCTCAATTTTGTCGTCGTCGTCGTTCGCTATTGTCCGCAAACGGTCGACGTGCCAAATCGCCTATTAGTTTTATATACTTGATCGGTAAATCAATATCGTTCAACTTTCCATTCGAGGTAACCAAAAATAATATAATATACCATGACAAAAGTTGTTAATATTAATCATCATCATCATCAGTTCTAACCTTGTCCAAACTAACTGCATATAACTGTAACTATACTGTTTCCATCACATTAAGGACAAAAGGCTGGTCTTTGACGGTGCGTCTCAAGAAGCCTCGCCAAACAACTTCAAACTAATTCGCGTTAATATGTTTGAAAAAACACCGCCCATAAAAGTTGTAAGAGATGACAATTGTAAAGTGTAAAGGTAAGGGCGGTTTGCTTTCTGATCGATAAACTAACTGCACGAAGAAATTTGTCAGGGGATTAAAAAACAATAAACGGTAAAGACGTTTTCGTTGTAATATCTAAAAACTGTACTCGTTATTTCTATAATGTAATAATAATATATCTGGCTATTATATTATACAATCAAATGTTGCATTCTTAAAATTATGTGAAATTATAAAAATAAAAGTTAGTACCTACTTGAGATACGTCATGTACTAGTATTTTTATATTACTGCCGCTTACTTATGTCCCTAAATCTAACGAGTTGTACAAATATATATATTTAATGAATTTTGCATAAAATATCTTCTATCTGATACACTATATTGCTAAAAATTGGGGTAGTGCCAATCACTGGTGCCGTTACTCTAAAACTTTAATTATAGGAATGGA